AAGACATTCTGTGTCTATGCTAGAAAATTTCAAAGTGCCAGAAACTAATGATGTTTATACCTTTGCCTGCATTCTAAAGGAAGGCTGGCATTTTGTGCTCAACTTCAACAGGGTGGCACAACAGCTTTGCAAAAGCCACTGCAGCCTGGGCTCACCTGGGGCACACTGCTGGGCACCGAACACTCTGAAGGAGTGTTCTGAGGGGGCAGAATTATAATAACGAAGATGTTGTAATAACTGTTACAGTTATTACCTGCCTCCTATAGTATGAAACATGACAGTAACTAGGGATGGTGCATTTGATACTAAAATATCCTAGGAAATTGTGCCTGGGCCCCACAAAGAATCTTCATATGCACTAACTGGACAATAAATACAGTCATACACCACATAATGACACTTCAGTCAACCATGGACTACACATGCAATGCTGATCACCTAAGATAATGAAGGAGCTGAGAAATTTTTATCACCCAGGATTTTTACTATTCCTTTTCTATGTTGATATATATATATATATATATATATATATATATATATATATATATATATATAATTACGTTAAATCACCTACAGTATTCGGCGTAGTAACTCATGTGGTAAAGGTGCTGAACCTAGGAACAAAAGGTGGTCCAGGTGTGCAGGAGGCTCCCCATCTAGGTTTGTGTAAGGTCCATGAGGTTCCAGCAATGGCAAAATTGACTAACAGTGCTTTTCTCAAGGTGTCATTAAGTGACATGTGATTGCATATAACTCTCCTCCACCCTTTCTAATTTGTTTTTCCACATTTCTCTCTACTCTGGATATTGAGATAAGTGCAGTTTTAGAGATGAGAGCCTTAGCAGACTACTTTCCCAGGGCCCTTCCGGGCCAGGGGCAATGCTATGGGGCACCATAGCTGTCTTTTATTCCAAGGCCTCCAGAGAGTTCTGGTTTGGTACCTATGGTAGAGAGTGTACCAGAATCAAGCAGCCAGGAGTCCGTGTCTCTGATTAAGCAGTGATGGACTGGTGCTATGGGGAGCGTAAGATGTTATTAATCACTGCATCTCCCTGAAATTCATATAAAGTCCTAGCTCCCCCACCCACCCACCCCCCGCATGGTACCTCAGAATGTGACCTGATTTGAGAATCAGGACCTACTCATTTCAAAATGGTATCATGTTAGAGTGGAGTGACTTTCTCTCCCAATACTGCTGGTGGTGGCCTTATTTAACAAACCAAGTGGAGGCGGGAAGAGTACACAGTGAGAAGGCCACATGAATATAAGGGGACAGATTGGTGTGACATGTGATCAGCCATAAAAGGCCAAAGATACCAGCAAACCATCAGAAGCTACTGGAGAGGCCCAGAACAAGCCCTTCCCTCACAGTCCTCCGAAGGGCGCAGCCCTGGGTCACCTCCCACTCTGACTTCTCAGCCACTGCAAGGCAACGTTAATGCCATTCATGCCACCCTGGTTGCAGTGCTTTGCAAACTAATGCAGGGGGGATCCTCAGGGAACCTAATGAAAACTCAGTGCCCAAAGGTTCCAAGTGGATGAAAAAACAACCAACTGAAACCTTCCAGGTGTAAGAGTTGGAAAGCTCTAGAAACTATTTCTCCGAATGACTATAATATACACTGAACACTGCTGCAGGAAACATTGTAAAGCTCAGAAAACATTCTCAGTCTGCTGAGAGCTAGAGAGAAAGAGCTGATGGCTTGTTCTGTGAAAGATTCCTGGCTCCTCTTCACACCCTTCTTCATTTCTACCTTTCAACCAAGAACAGGTCACTGCATTAAATCTCCTGGCAATGTAAGTCTCCACTTTCTACAGACAAAGTAGTTTTTCTTATTAATTAACTGAAGACCTGATATCCCCCTGGCTAAGAAGAAACATTTAGAATGAAAAGTCCTCAAGGTGCTGGGAACAGGTGGAGAAGCTTTGCGTGGAAAAGGACCTTCCTGTGGGCCTCAGTCTGGCTCCATCAAAGGAACCCTTGGGTGTCCTGGAGGCTTGGACCATAGCAACCCATGCATCTCCCACCAGACGAAGTCCCTTGAGCCCACCCTGCCACAGGGTCTTGTTTCCATGAAGTTTGATTGAGTTGCTCACCCCAGCCCCTCTTGAGCCAGAGGTTTCTCTTCTTCACCAGATTATCACATAGAAGGCAGGGCCAAAAATAGGCACAGACTCCACAGTGGAGAGAGAAGGCTGGAAAGGAGTGTCTTAAGAAGATATCTGTGGCACTTTTCAGGGTCACACAGACCAGTGAAAAAGGTACTAAGTAAAAAAGGAATTAAGCCACTAAAAGGGCACGGGTGTTGAACCTATGACTTAAGCAGGGATAGGGAACCTCAGATAAAGTCCTTCTAAAATAAATGCAAAAGAAATAAAGTGCAATCTCCCATCCTGGCAGTTTCTCTCAAGTCCCATCTAATGAGTAGATTTAGAGAGAAAAAAGAAAGAAAATATGAAACTGTTCTGAACCAAGTGAGTTTCAGTTTAAACCTCTCTGGCAGGTTCTCACACATCAATCACTTGTCCTCCAGTTCCCTCAAAACTCAGAAGTCACAAACACCCGGGCATGGTGGCACACGCCTGTCATCCCAGCATTTAGGAGGCTGAGGCAGGAGAATCATTGCAAGTTGAAGACTGGGCTACAAAGTGAGCTCAAGACCAGCTTGAACTTCATAGTCTCTGTCTCAAAAAGGCAAAAAAAAAAAAAAAAAAAAAAAAAAAACCCCAGTGCCGTCCTAAGTTGTACCCTGGCGCTCTTCTGGCTGCTTGACTGCTGATGCAGAGAGGAAGTTTGGCTTCGTCCATGGGGCTTCTGTTCTGAACTCCCAGATTTGAATCCTAGCCTTCCCTTGTGCAGGTTATCTGATGACTTGCTTTTTCTGTCTACAAATGGGTATAAAGTTAGTGTTGTGTGGGGCTTCACTGCCCCTCTGGAGGATGAAGTGAGAGTGAATGCCAAGCTGCTGGTAAACTGTGTAAGAGCTCACCGAAAGGGCTCTCGTCCGCTCCTCTGACCTGCAGCTATGGACCGTCTTGCCCATCTATGAGAAGGGGGGGGGGGTGCATTGTGAGCTGGGTTCTCTGTCTGTCAGCCTGACCATTTACAGGTGGCTCCGAGCCCGGCTCCTGGGCTGTGCTTTAGGATCAGGACACCAAATGTCAATAGTAAATGAAAAGGAAAGGGGAATCAGTTAAAAGGAGAATCCCTGTGCCGGATTTCATTCTAACTAGTGTGTATTTTTCTTTTTATTAATATATGTTTGTGATATGTAATAAATGCACTCATCATGGGGAGTTGGTCAGTACACATTTTGCTGCTTGATCCTTTTTATTTACTGCCCACCACTCCTGTGCTACCTACAGACCCAGGATGAAGGCATGAGTGAGACACAGCCCCTTCCTCCTTTCTTCTCTCTGAATCTATTAATTTCATTGATCCTTGAGATCAAATTAATTGTAATAAAATACAAAGGAAGTGATTTTTTTTAAAAAGTTCCTAAATAAAGCCAACCATATTCATACTGAAATAACTTGACAAAATAATTTTCACATCCTGGAGAAGAATTTGTTCTATAACTGAGTAACTACAACCCACTCAGGGTAATAAAATAGGTCCTCTATGGACCTCACGCAACAGAGAAATGTTTGTTATTCTAAATTGAGCCACAGTATGAACTTAGAGACAATAAACTGCATTTAGGAGAAAATTCAAACATGCCGTAAGTGACAGCTCTTACTTATCCATTCTGATTCCCTCACAGACTCCAGGAACTGCTCACGAAGAAGCTTCCAAATTTTCCACATGTGGTTGTCCTCTCTGGTTCACAACTGGAAAGCCAAGTTCCATCCCTAGAGAGCCAGTGATGTTTTATCTTTGGGAAGACAATTTTTGCTTGTCAGCCTCTTGTTGTGCCCAAGGTCAAACTGATCTCTCATGTCAAACCTCCTTTCATGTCCAACAGTGTCCCATTGAAAAAACAAATGAGGCTATTCTGGCCAACTAGCTTTCTCCCTCAGCCAGCACAGGAGTCTCCCTGCAGAGTGGAAGTGAGTGGCTACAGCACAAAGGACCTCTCAAGGGAATCCTAGAAGTATGCCAGACACAAGAGTGGACCACAGTCTGGGTCATGGTGCCCAGAGTATGAATGCTACTTAGAAAGTCACATATGCATTATGTGTGTCTGTAGCTACAAAAGTCCAGGCATGTGTATCTCTGTATTTTCAAGCAAGCAGCCTTGAATAACACCAACAAAGATTTCCCCTGACCCCAGAAGTCCCTAAGGACACACAGTTTGTGTTTAGCATATCAAATAAATGATTGATTGTTCAGACTATTAACTGATTGATTTAGAAGTCAGAAAGACCTAAGTTCACACTAATTCCCTGCTGAAGGAGCTCTGATAAGTTACTTAGCTTCCCTAAACCTAGGTTTGTCTGTAAAGTAAGTTTGCTCATCTCTTCAGCTGCTTATTAAAGGGATGGTCATAAAGCAAACCTCTATAAACAGGAACTATTATCAACATCACTGTCATTGAAGAACAGTTCATGTGGATGCATCTTTATGAGTTCAGAATTTCACAATACTGTGGAGACAGACTCGATCAATGGAAAGATTCTGGCACACGTTCCTGTAAATGGATACTTTCCACCACAATGTATGGCTTAAGTGGGATCAGTCACCTGGTGGTCAGATGTTTCCAAGCCACCAAGGATGAGACAGTTCTCCTAGGGAACCCAGGAAGCTAGCCTCATTTCCTGGTTCAAAAATCACACCTGTGAAACTCTAACTGGGTGGGAAATTCTTCTAGTTGACTCTCCTACAGCCATGGTTCATTATCAAGTTATTTCTCCAGGTCACCCTGAGGTCATCTCCTTAATGCAACTTCAGGGGAGGCCTGTAGCCCAGGAATTCAGCCCCACTACCTCCGCCCCAAAGTCCACACTAACGCCCAGCCTTTGTTGAACACTTAATATGCACCAGGCACCATGCAAACAGATTTATGTGCATCTGTTTATTTAATCCACCAGCAGCCCTCCAGGGAAGTAGCTACAGCAATCCACAGTTAAAGACAAAGAATCTTAGACTTAGCAAAGCACAGTCATTCATCCAAGATCACAACTACCCAGCAGAGGAGCCAACGTTCCAGGTCTTTCTGACTCAAGTACCTGAGCTGTTACCACCAGGCTATACTTTGCAGAAAACCATTAATCTCATATTTATGTCCCATGTCACGTGTGCTTCAATTGCATTCAAGAACGAAAAGAAGCTTAAGATTTTCATTGTTATCACCTGCTGAAAAACAGCACGGGCTGTGGTCCCAAATCAGGTCCTACCTTGCTCCAAGAGCTCCAGAATGTTTCTTCAGCCCTCCCCCACATCACAGCACTGTTTACCCCAATATCGGCTCCTGATTCCTTGTGGCCTCTCAAACAACTAAGCAAGTACTGTAGCATAAATTTAACTAGTTTGGCTAAGAAGCTCCTTCAAAGCAGCACCTGGTTAGAGCAAGAGTGCCACCTTGTGGAATTTTTGGGACACTGACAGCATACATTTCTCGGACCGGATGGGAAGGCTGGCAGGCTGGAGTTCCAGGGAAACTGAGTAGTGTTCACACTGCTGGGAAACAGCCCTGACAGCTGCAGAAGCTAATCACCAATGTCCAGGTCCTGATTTTATTGAAACTCACAGGTGTTACTCCAACACAAGCTGCAGACTTTGTGGATATGAATTTCTCAGCTTCAAAACTCAGGGCTGGGACCAGGAAGCACTGCAGGCATAATATGCCAGGACAGAGTTGCATTCCCGTTGTGTCAAATCCTGAAACTGTATTCATTATAAATTTTTTCCATTGCATTCAATTTTTTAAAATTGTACTAAAAATGTTATTTATTTCAATTAGTGAGTTGGGGGCACTTTCTTACATTATGTACTCAGCAGGGTCCTTACTGGCTTCTCCCCAGCACTGGCCCTGCCCAAGCTCTCTGACTGCAGACTCCATTTCCTCTCAAAGCTCTGGCTCCAAGTACAGGACACTCAGTGCCTGCTGCTCCCCACACACCGTGTCGTCCTCACTCTTCCCACCTGAGACTGGCCTTGGGTTGCCTCAGTCACGATCAGTCCTGCTAACCCTCTTGATGCATCAATTCAATCAGAAGAGAGGACACAAACCAGCCCTCGTGCTTGACTGTAATCAGAATAATCTGGCGAGAAATGTTTGCCACTCACTGATTTCATGGCAGCTCCCTGCTTCTTTGATAGCCAGCAAAACTACCAAGTTTAAAAGCTGCTTTTACGTTTGACAGGACCAGGGCCACAGTAAGCCAGGGTAGAGGCACCTGTCAGCATGGCGCATGGCTGAATCTGGATCATGGCAAAACGCAGTTCCACCTTGGGACATTTTCTCCCCAGGAGTCTTTGGGTCCACATGAGGCCAGGTGACCAACAGCTCTATGCCTAATCTGGGTCTCACCAACTCCCTGACTCACAGCCTAAGGCAAGGTGGGAAGATCTTTACCTGGAACTCATCAATGGCCCAGCGCATCACAGTGATGAGCGGATGAGGGGGGTTCCTCTGGAAATCCTGAAATTTAATGCAAAAGTAAATGTATTTTTGGAAGATGGTTTGTCGCTTTCCTCTCATTTTCCAAGGGACATTTGACTGTACAAAGGGCAAGAATCAGCGCAGACTTTGGAAAATATGCAGACTTCCAGAGTCTCTTTGTGAATCAGCCACAGCAAATGCCTTCCTGGCATGGCCTGGTAAAAGCCAGCACTGTGGCCTGAGCAGGCTCTGTAAACAGTACGGGGGTGTCCTGGCACAAGCATGCATCTCCCAGCATGCAGAGCAGGGAAAAGTTTCACTCTTGATAAACTAGAATTTCAAATGAATGTCCATGTTTCATTCTTTGCCTTTCACTCACTGCTTAAAATCTTTCAAGCCTCACTGTGGCTCTCAGGCAAAGTTCTTTTTGGCAAGTGGCGAATTTCTCCTAAATAACTCGCCACCCCACGGGTGCCCTGACTCCTGTGGGAAGACCTGGCTCCCATATCAGCCGTCTGAATGACATTTCCAGGCACTGGAACACACACTCTTGTTATCACGCATCGAGGTTTCTGCAATTGTTTGCATAAGCATCTATCTTCCCATTCAGATGGGGAGCCTAAGAAGGCAGGAAACCAAATCTCATTCATCTTTTAATCCTCAACATCTAACACAGAGTTGGTGTGGGGAAAAAAAAGAGTGGTAATGAATGAATAAATCCATGAATGGAGGAACAAGTACCTACAATACTTGTTTTCCTAACATTCTCCTTGGCTTTTTTCAATGATGCATGAGCCTCACTGATGAAGACTGGAGGACGGATTCCACCACCACCCTTAAGCAAGTCCCAGAAGAGGAGAGTGAGAGTCCAACAGACAGGACCTGAGTGAGATGCAGACCCCTGGTCCCCCAAGGCCACGGCAGGCCAGCTGCAGTGCCTCACCACTGAGTCACTGCCGCGGGCGCACAGTGGGCCAGGCTGCTGCTGCTTCTTGTAGCTCACTGGTCACCATCGCCTCCACCTGTACTTTGGGCTTGCAGTAGAGAGACATTTAGCCAAGGGGGTTCAGAGGAGAGCCGGACAGTAAATGCTCACCCCAGCTCCAGCAGGGCCTGGGAAACCTTGAGCTCCCTCCTGATGCTTTGTCACTCACCATAGTAAAGAACCAAACAGAAAACTAGTTGACTCAACTTGCTTCCAACTCAGGGTAAAGACAACAAGATGTCAGGCCCAGAAATGCATTGGCCATGAACCCCAACAGTGAGTGTTCCTCTGTGTCTTTCCGCCTGAATGGAATTCATGAGAAGTCTGATAAAATCTCAGGGCAGCCGCTCCAAGCTGTGCTTGTCCCAAACTCATTCCAGGAACCGGAAAGTGAGCTGGAGGTGGAGGCCTCGTGGCTGGTTTATGTCCGCTTTGAGGACAAACCTCCTGAGGAAACCCTAGGTGCCAACACAGCTATAGTCATTACCAAGTTGTCAGGCTGGTCTTGAACAAGATGAAATTTTACACACTGAAGAGGACGTAGGTCTCTGAACTCCTGGGTGCGGTTTCTCCCTCGGGTTTGGTTCCTCCTAGTGGCTTGGCCTGGCCTGGAGAGACTCCTAACTCTCAGCTGCTCCTGTCCAGAAGCCACAGAGCCACCTGCAGCCTCTGTCACCGCTTCCCCTGGACACTCCTCATCAGGGCAAAGGCAGTTTTAAAAATACAGCCAGCCTCCTGCACGTGGGACTCAGACTCAACTAACTGTGGGCAGAAAACATGGTCAGGCCTGCCAGGGCTGCATCCATCCTGAATACGTCCAGATTTTTCCTTGTCATATCCCTAAGGGATGTAGTGGGACAGAGACTTACATAGGATTCACACTGTATATTTATATTATATTATATTATATTATATTATATTATATTATATTATATTACAATACGATCTAAAGCACTGTAGTTGATGTTAGAAATGATTTAAAGTACATAAGAGCATTGCTAAGTTATAAAAAAAACCCACTATAACGTTTTTTGAAAATAACTAGATTTCACTTTGATGCCCAGGGTAGCCACCGATTCCAAATACTAGGACTACTTTTGGGAGTCTCCACATCAGCTACTATAGCATTTCATATAAGGATCTGAAGCTCTGGTATCCCCGGGGTCTGGTATACAGGTGGGTAGGTCCTGACAGGCCTCAGGGCTTTGATTTATGATTTTGTGAGCAGTGACTTGATCTTCTCTTGTGCATGCTGTAGGATTATAGGTCTCTCTGCTGAAAAACACAAAAGTCCATAAAATTAAAGAAAGGAATATCCCAAATTTAGAGCAGGAAAAGGGGAAGTCACTTTACTGTTCCATCCCAAATGTGCACTCAGCTCAAATTCTACACCCTTTCCAGATGTGTGCTAGGAATGAGTTGTGTGCCCCCGATCATGGGGTTTTCTGTCCTGTGTATGTTGTATCTGTGACTCCAGATCTTAGAGCTCTTTCTGGTCCCCTTTAAAACCCAGTGAGTGTGTAATAAATATTGATCGGTTGATGATAGCCTAGAAAGTCTAAAGCCAAATTAAAGCCAAACGCACATTTATAAAAATATACCCCAAGGACAAAGTGTTACTGTGAACCAAGCCTTTTGTTTTACATTTAATCCTCACCAGAGTCCATCGGCAAGTAGTTTTATTCTCTTCCCAACGAGGAAACTGAGGCTGGCAGGAGCCTCTGGCAACACAAATAGCTGCTCACTGGTGGGTTGGGAATTCCAGGATGGTCTGACTCATGAGGCCATGAAGCTGTGCTCTCCATCACTTGGGAATTCCCAGTCTTTCAATAAATAACCTAGGGAGGCTTTCACTTCCTGAGCACAGCAACAAGGGCACTGTAAAACACGGCCACAGCCAGGGCAGGCAGAGTTTCACAAACAGGTTAGAGTTGTGCGTGCGATTCCTGATAGAGCCCCAAGTACCGCCCAAGCCAAGCCTGCATTCCTAAAATCCTACCATTTCCTCCTGCCTATGCCTTTCTCCTTCTCATTCCTGCCCACCTTGGCCATGCCTCCATTTGTCCATCTCTGAGCTGGGGATATGGCATGCTTCTGGGGATATTTCCGCTGCCATTCTCTAGTCCTGCCCAGAGCTGATTTCCCTGATGGAGTCCATTCTTCATTCTAGAAGGCAAACTCGACTTCAGAATCCTTCTCAACACAGCACAGCAGGCTGCCACTGCCAATCACCCTTACCTTGAGACAAAGTCCATTTGTTACTGTGGGCATAGCAAGCAATCAAGGGAATTCAGTCGCCGCTTCCTTCTATCCTCTCTGCCTGATCTCCCCAGGGTTTCCGGGATGGACAGTGGCATGGACGGACGGTTGGCACCACTCTTAATTCTGCTGACTTCACTCAACCCCATGCTCCTCTCCACAACTCGCTCCTCGTGTGAGCACATTCCGCGGTGTTTGTTACAGGAACTGGTGCGCTTCACAGGTCATCCGGAGGCCACGGAGGGCTCTCTGTGTCAGCACTTCATTTCTTACTCAGTCTCGTTTCCTCCCCTCCACATACGCCTGGCTGCAAACCATCCATCCACCCCACACTTCCTCCTTCTTTTTAAAGCTCAAGCTGACAAGAAGACTTCTTCCTCACTACTTACCTTTTTTTTTCCTATAGAAATGGAAATTCAGCTTGCTGGGGGGTTATGTAGAAATGGCCAGGACTAAACTCTCATCTGGGCCCTTCTGGTCCTCCGTGTCTTTACCCCATGCCCTTAGCTGCTCAGGGTCTCTGAATCACCGTGTGAGTTAGCCAGGGTGGGGAAGTGTGTTTTTCCAGGGGCCCCTCAGCCGCCTCGGATTTAGATCCTAAATCAGTTTGGTTATGGTGATTCTGGTGGATCCTTTCCTGTAGCAAAACACTGCACTGCTCAGTGTTCCAGAGGAAGGAAATGCTGAAACATTCTCATTCAGGAGAGTAAGGAGGAATAAAATATCTTACAAAGCAACATTTTGCTGATTGAAGTACAAGGAAATCAAAAGCGTATGTATGGACTGTGTACTGTTTAAATGAGTTTTTGTTTCACCTGAAACCACAAACTGTGGGGGTAGAATTTTCTTTTTTAACAGAATAGAGTACATTGGAAGATAGCTGGAGATTTGTTTTTAATAGCTAGAGATTTTTAAGAAACTCAAAATGTGAGCAGGATGGCCCAGCCCTGGTTATTAATATCTTGGAACCAGCTGGGGAGTAAAATTAGGCTGTAAAATTGTTGCACCATTCGTTACGCCAAGCTGGAAATAATGCATTTCTCATGTACCTCTAAAGGAGAAAAATGCCAGATTGAGGCATTTGAAATGAGGTTTTGTCTCACTGTCTGTGTTTTGACATTAGTCACGATAATAATTCCTTTCACTGAACTCACAGACTGAAAGGTCAAAGGGCGGAGGTTAAAAACGGAGGCCCGGCGCCGGCTGCCGGCTGCTGGCTCTGCCCTCACAGTGATGCTATCTTAGGCATGTTCTCTCACCTCTCTGTGCCCTCATTTCCTCGTCTGGAGAGTGAGAGTAACAACCATCACAATAGTAGTCCACCACCCAGGTAAAGCACCTTTTAAAGCAGATGGCTGATGCTCAGGAAGGTCTGGGTAAGTGTTTAGCAACGTTATTTGATATCCTGCTCAGAACTGCCTGCCACTAGATAAGGCTGTGACTCAGTTTCTCTCTTCAAATACTGACAAACTGAGCTAGACCAGCAAGGGAAAAGAGAAGGCATAAATATATAAAATCAGCATTTGAAAGTGGGGACCTTATGACCAACTTTACAGAAACAAAAATGATCTTAGTAGACAACCATGAACAATTATACGACAACAAACTAGATAGTCTGGATATAACTGCAGTTCCTGGAAACACAAATTACCTAAACCAACATGAACAGAAGTAGAAAATCACACTATACTGATAACAAGAGATTGAATCAATCATCAGAAACCCCCGGAGGAAGCTAGGCACACATCGATACGCAGAGCTACTGTAGAGGTTCAGACAAAGAGGGTCACAAGTCCAAGGCCATCTGGGCAACCTGGCGAGACTTTGTTTCAAAATAAGAAATAAAGGGCTGGAGACATAGCCCAGTGTAACATGTGCGAAGCTCTGGTTGAATTCTAGTACTAAAGAGGAGGGGAACTTTAGGAAGAAGAGAATGGCTGGATGGCTCCATTGGTAAATTCCATTAAGATTTAAAGGAGAATTAACACTGACTACCAAAATAAGTGATTTGTTTTAGGACTCTGCCCTCCCTGAACCTTCCATGTAACATCATACAATCTTTCTTTCTTTCTTTTTCTTTCTTTTCTTTATGTGGTCCAGTTTGGCCTCAAACTCACAGTGATCCTCCTGACTCAGCCTCCCAAGTGCTGGGATTACAGGTGTGCACCATCACACATGGCCACACATTGCTTGTTCTCTCACATCTACTGATCTTCTTCCAAGCTCTCCTCACCACCTGATTGACTATATGCTTATTTGCTTACTTATTCATTCCTGTCTTTTTCCAGTGGGATGAAAGTTTTATATGAGAAGGGCATTTGTTGTTGGATTCTTCTCCCACTACTGAATTCTTAGTCTCTAGGATATTGCTCTCTACATGATAAGTGCTCAATAAAAATTGATTCAATAGGGCCAGAGGTTTAGCTCAGTGGTGTAAGTGCCTGCCTGGCAAGTACAAGGTCATGTGTTCAATCCCTGGTACCAAAAAAAATTGATTGAATGAATAGAGAAATCACTAATTGTTCTTCCACTGAAAGACAAAACAGGGAGGACTTTGTTACTGCAGAATACCAAGAAATAACTGATTAGAAGAAAGTGAGATGTCCTTTTTTTTTTTTTTTTTTGTACCTAGAATCAAACTCAGGACCTTTCATCTGCCAAGCTATATCGCAGCCCAAGAAAGTGAGCTTTCAAAGACAGATAAGTAAAACAGGAAAACAAAGGCAAGTAAGATTTCTGGGATTGCTGAAAAAGCAAAGATGGTCAGCAGTGTCAGTTAATGCTATATATCAAGTACGATGGGCATGTGAGTGTCCATGAGCTAATGGGCCACCTTAGTGAGATCCTTGTGGGGGTGGTATCTAAGAGCTTTGCTGCAAGATACTCAGATAAGTTTTCCTTTTTATTGACATAATAATTGCAAATATTTATGGGGTGTGATAGTCCCATACATATCTTTAATGTGTAACACTCAAATTAGCATTTCCAGCTCCCTAAGTAGTTATCATTTCTTTGTGCTGGGGAACTTTGAACTCCTCTAGTTCTTTACAAAATACATAATAAATGGTCGTGAATGACAGCCCACCCTACAGCGCCTAGAACATTAGAACCTGCTCTTCCTGCACCAGTGCCTCCCCATCCTAACCCACGCTCTGTCCCTTCTCTCCCCCACCCCACCACCAACTTCTAGTGACCACTGTCCTACTCTACCTCAGTGCAATCCACCATTTTGGTGCCACCTATAACTTGTGCTGTGTGCCTTTGTGCATCTTGCTTATGCCACGTAATAAAGCCCTGCGCTCCCAGCCATGTAGCTGCAAATGATAGGATTTATTCTCTCACCTCCAGACATCGTATTGAAATAGATTTCTTATGAAGGGCAAGATACAACAAATGAAGGCTGGGGATTTAGCTCAGTGGCTTAAGTGCTTCCCTGGTAAGTATAAGGTCCTGAGTTCGATCCCCGGTACCAAAACCAAACAAACAAAAAGATACAACAAGTGGGAAATTGCTAGAAAGGACGAAGGACAAGTGAAGATGTTGTTTCTAAGAGGGAAAAGGCCTGTGTAAGCCTACACCGAGGGGAGGGATCCAGCTGAGAGAAAAGAAGTGGCCTAGGCCCAAGAGAGCTGGTGGCTCAGCGCGAAAGGGCTCCTGAGCTACAGACCAGAAAACAGACATGGACCCAACCTCAATCAGGCCCTGGGGCCCCAAAACTCAGTCCGGTGCTCTTTTTACTACATGTTGTTGTTGCTTTCTGTTGTTTGTTTGTTTGTTTGTTTCTCAAGAGCAGTTGAGAATGTTCAGGGAGCAGTAAGGAGCCAAAGGGTCAGGAACCAGAGCTGGGTAGTAGAAAATACCTGCTCCCATAGACTTTTGTCATTTAGATCAAAGGTACTTTACCACTCACTGGTTCCTGTGAAGGTCTCCCTGCAGCCCTCACTAATGCCACCCTGGCGGAGCAGGCGTGCTTGCCAGGTTGGTGTGCCTTAAGAGGAGCTGAGCATGCGCAGCTTGGTCCCTTCCTGTTCTTTAAAGAACTAGAAGGGAAAAGACATCCGGATCCCACGCTGAGCATGGCGATAAAGCCTCCTGCACCTTTGCGGGCCTTGCCTCAGCCCCTGGCAATGCCTGGATTCAGCATCGGGAGGCCTTGTCCCCCGTGTGTGTTCCACTTTCTCCCATGTCATTTTATTAGTAAGAAAAACGATTTGGTTTCTGTATTTGTCTCCTGCCACCTGCTGTAGGCTCAAAAAGAGGAAAGAAAGGGAATCTCTCTGGTGGGAATAATTACATTATCAAAAGGGGGCATAGGAAACTTGATTCTCAAAACCATTCCTTTTGAAATATAAAGACTCTGTCCCTCCCCCCCCAAAAAAACCATAAAGCAAAAAGTTTTCAGATACAGTTTAATACTGAAAGCCCATTCTCCTGAAAGAACAATCCTAATGTAGAAAAGACAGCCAAGTCCTCTGATAAATGTGTAAAACCAAAGGATCTGTGTTCATAATTCAGTTGCCTCAAAGTGCAAAGCCTTGTTCAGCTTCTTTCCAGATTCCACAGTCTTCTATCCGCAGACAGCCACTGCCACATCCACAGTCTCAAACTGAGAAAACGACTCAGAATCATCACAATATGTGAAGATTCAGCACAGTAATAACCGCACCGCACAAGCAGGGGAAAAACCTGCCAAAGCACATTCTTTGCAGATGAGCAAAATGCTGCATCGATTGCAAAGGCAGGTGTTGGCACCCCAGTGAGCTGGGGCTCTGTCTTCAGCTCATTCTCTTCAACATTTTCGGTGCCAAATCATGGTTCCCCATAACCATTTTAGAAAGAGTCACCATCACTGGAGTAATTCCTCAGTTCTCCATATTGCAAATTGAAAACTACTGACCCTTCTTTCTCCTGCTCGTAAGTTACTATTTGAAATTTTATCAAAGTTTTTTTTTTTTTTTTTTTTTTTTTTTGGCGTTTTGGTGACGACAAAGACAGCCCACAAATTCCTGCTTGTACAATTTTACTTGTGGGCTCCCTTAAGAACCAAAGGGGGTGGAGGGTTATTTAAAGACTCTGTGAGACATCAGAGTCAGTGGGAGGTTAGAAATCTAGGCTAGAAAATACGCAAGGGCTGAGTAAAGCGGAGGCTGAGGGAAGCACTGTCAAATCCAGAGCAGATGCTCCCAGCTCCCACCTGCAGAAGCTCCACGCCCAGCTCCACCTGCAGAAGAGGCCCTCTCACCAGCCCACATCCTTATGGCAGGTGTTCCCTGTGCTCAGAAAGAGAACAGGGCTCCTTTGGATCCCAGGTGCAAGCATTCCCACCTCAACCCCATGGGAAGACAGCCCACTGGGAGAGACTCCCTTCAGAGGATGGATTGGGTGGTGGAGCCCAAAGCCTGGCCAGTGTCACCCGAGCTGGCCATTGCGGCAGAGTACTGTTAGTAATGTGAGTGGCT